CGTACCTCACGCAGCCCTACAGGTACGCCGAGTGTACCTCACGCAGCCCTACAGGTACGCCGAGTGTACCTCACGCAGCCCTACAGGTACGCCGAGTGTACCTCACGCAGCCCTACAGGTACGCCGAGTGTACCTCACGCAGCCCTACAGGTACGCCGAGTGTACCTCACGCGGCGCCACCTACAGGTACCCCCGTTGAGCCGAGCGTACCTCACGAAGCCGTATGCCCGCTTCGGCCCGAGTGTACCTTATGCAGCTGTACAGTTACGCCCGCTTCGACCCGAGTGTATCTTATGCAGCTGTACAGTTACGCCCGCTTCGACCCGAGTGTACCTCATGTTTCCCAACAGGTGCACCCGCGCTGAGCCGAGTGTACCTCACGCAGCACTACAGATGAGTCATGAGTGGGGGTCATGTAGGATTCCCTTGTTGGATGGTAGCACTATCAGCTACAACTGACGCGAACAAAGCCTCAACGTGACCACGACCGCTCTGCCAAGAGCGAAACGAATATGAAAAAGAAGATAGCAGCTACCAAGATATGGCCTAGCCTTTGCCAGGCCTCCCGCTAAAGAGACCTGTACTTCTCGCAGCCTTACAGGTACTGGCCATTATCGAGAAGATGAAATTTTGCACAAAGTAACAAAACGTCGAGAGTGGTGCCCATGAAAAGGTGAAACCTTTAAATCACCGTTCTGTCATTGTGTTCCTTAAGCAGGGTACTCACCTACCTTGTAGCTCGTAACTTAGCATGTAACGTATCCAACCTTCAAGTGAGTACGGTTCGTCCACGGTCATCGCGTATCTGGCTGCGAGCTCCTGGATCCTACTGCGTGCCGCCTTTGTGCTCGCAGTGATACCACCACTCGGCGGGTCGCTGCAATCTCCCTGCGAACCACGCGCGAGCAGCGGACTCGTGCCTATGTACTCACTTGATACAGTATCTGACACATTACATGCTACACGGCTAGATGAGTACCCAGCTTTAGTACTTATAGTTTATTCTGACATGACTGTGTTCTTTAGTACTTATTCTTGTTCTGTTCGCAGCGAGGCGGGCGGCGGCGGCGCGCCGGGCGCGGGCGCTCCGCTGGGCACGCGCGCGTGGTACTACGGCGCCATCACGCGCACGCACTGCGACGCGCTGCTCAACCAGCACGGACACGACGGGGACTTCCTCATCCGCGACTCGGAGACCAACGTGAGTCATTCACTATACCAGCGGTTCCCGAAAGGTGGTCCGCGGAACCCTAGGGCTCCGTGGAAAGGCCGCAAGGGTTCCGTAAAAAATATTATCCCACGTTTCGTAACCGACGTTGTTCGCTCGCACCGACTTGTTTACGCACAAGGGAGGGGCAGGGCGTGCGGGCGGAGTAGTACGGGGGTTCCCTTTGGAAAAGTATAATCAATTAGGGTTCCTTGGCAAAAAAAATTGGGAAACCCTGAAACTATACCAACCATGGGCGTTCCCCGTATCCTTATTCACGTAACAAAACTTCAACGACAACAAAACACTGAGTTGCGATCCTATCTATAGTCTGGTCCGTGAGCACGTAGAATTTTGTCCAAAGACCCCAAGCTACATCCTTATCGCTCGCGCGTAATTATGTTGCTATCGCGCTCGCACAGTCACTGCGGGTGCCAGTCGTACAGTCGCGACAGCAATATAATTACGCGCGAGCAATAAGGATGGGTAGCTTGGGGTCATTGGACAAAATTCTATGTGCTCACGGACCGGGCTTTAGTAATCGTTCTATGAAAATGACCCTTGTTAATAGGGATTTAGAACTGTTTTTCAATGGGACGACTTCTGAACGTCAGCGAGATCTTGACTGTCAAAATACCTGAATTAGGCCACAGGGAAATCTCAAAGACAAATGTCCGTTTTCACCATCAATCCCTAATTTTTAAGTGACCCCTATGAAAATAAAATTCCTGTTATGTGTTACCATAGAGGTCACTTAAAAAATAGGGATTGATGGTGAAAACGGGCATAAGTCAATCCGACCTAAAAAAATCTGATTTGCCCCCGCTAAGCCAGAAGCTGGGTATGGCTTGCCACCCCTAGGACAGAAGCTAGATATATGAAACCAACCGAATTGAGAATCTCCTCCTTTTGTTGAAGTCGGTTAAAAAGGACATTTTCGATTGATACACCTATAGATCAGCGGTTCCCGAAAGGTGGTCCGCGGAACCCTGGGGTTCCGTGAAAAGGCCGCAAGGGTTCCGTAAAAAATATTATCCCACGTTTCGTAACCGACGTTGTTCGCTCGCACCGACTTGTTTACGCACAAGGGAGGGGCAGGGCGTGCGGGCGGAGTAGTACGGGGGTTCCGTTCACTCACTGCGGCCGCCCGTCGCACAGTCGCGACAGCAATATAATTACGCGCGAGCGATAAGGATGGGTAGCTAGGGGTCATTGGACAAAATTCTACGTGCTCACGGACCGGGCTTTAGTAATCGTTCTATCAAAATGACCCTTGTGATTAGGGATTTAGAACTGTTTTTCAATGGGACGACTTCTGAACGACAGCGAGATCTTGACTGTCAAAATACCTGAATTAGGCCACAGGGAAGTCTCAAAGACAAATGTACGTTTTCGCCATCAATCTCTAATTTTTAAGTAACCCCTATGAAAATAAAATTCCTGTTATTTATTACCATAGGGATCACTTAAATTACGGATTTATGGTGAAAACGGGCATAAGTCAATCTGATCTAAAAAAAATAAGATCCCCCCCCCCCCCAAGCCAGAAGCTGGGTATGACTTGCCACCCCTAGGACAGAAGCACATGAAACCAACCGAATTGAGAATCTCCTCCTTCTGTTGAAGTCGGTTAAAAAGGACATTTTCGATTGATACGACTGTAGATAATAGTGTTTTCAATTTACTGACCTTTTTGTTATGTTTAAAAACATTTTTTACAGCGTAATCCTAGATCGTTAAATAATCTACCGTTTTTGCTCCAGGTGGGTGATTACTCGGTGTCTCTGAAAGCACCGGGTCGCAACAAACATTTCCGCGTGCACGTCGAAGGCAGCCTCTACTGCATCGGCCAGGTGAGATTGGTCATGCTTTTGAGTCTGCGCCGATTAATCTAAATACTCACGTAGTTCTCGTTAATAAACAGACTAATAACAACCAAGAGCCTAGGCCAAGGCCTCGATGTGGATAAAAAAAACCTTTGTCTCATTCATACGGTCCCCTAACATGGCACAAATCCCTAAACTTGCATTAACTGACTTGAAAACGGTCTAAAGTCCAGCCGCCGAGTCCAATGACCCCAAGCTACCCATCCTTATCGCTCGCGCGTAATTATGTTGCTGTCGCGCTCGCACACTCACTGCGGCCGCCCGTCGCACAGTCGCGACAGCAATATAATTACGCGCGAGCGATAGGGATGAGTAGCTTGGGGTCATTGAACG